GCTGTACTAAAATGAATTTTATGTCATTTTTATGGGACAGATAGTTTTTTTTTGGTGGTATTTAATCACCACTGGGGTTTTTATTTTTTACTATATAATGAAAAAAGTACTGAAAATGAACCACGTTATGTTATGAAACATTTTTATTACCCAATTTTTTGGTAAAATATAAAAGATGGGGTCACGTCAGATAAATAGGCACCGAACATGTCAAGCCTGCTGTACGCCTGTTAAATCGCAAAAAACTACCATATCCAAAATATCCCATAGACGATGCTTTAAACGCTTTTACCTTTCATTAATTTAGTGTTAACAATGATTAATGGCCCTAGAATTATTGCTTGCACTCCGACACTGGCGGTGATATCACATAACACGTGTGGCGCAATCATTAAGGTCTATTAGATCCCTAGTGTCACCTTTCTACTTCACTAGTAAATTACAGATGCCTGCTGAGGCAGCTGAATGTAAACATAGCAGGCAGTGGCTGGGAGCAATAGCCAGCCTGCTATTGGCTATTTTAAATTGCAATAGCCAATTGCAGACTGGCTATTGCTCCCTGCAACTGCCTCTTGTCAATCAACAGAGGAGTGAACTCAAGGAAAAAGTTCTCCTTCAGGTCCCCCTTTGCTGAATGGCAGCAGGCAGTGGGCTGGTGCAATAGCCAGCCGCTGGATGGGGAGACTTGCCGCCAGCTTTCTACAGCTGGAAGAAGAGTGGGTGCGGGGGAATGCAGAGGCACAGCGGTCTCTACTCCCCGGTGGGCGCTTGCTGCAGCGCTCTTCTCAACTAATCAAATCAACTAATCGATAATACTCCATTAACTCAATTAGCTGTTGCAGCCCTAATTGTAAGTTGACTTGTTAACACTTTACTATGTAATTAACATATTGTGCTAGGTGTAACCCTGGATTCTGAACGCTCCTTCAGGTCCCACATCCAATCACTGTCCAAATCTTGCATAAAAGAAAAAGTGATTTTTCAGACCAGGCCACCTTCTTCTATTACTCTGTGGTCCAGTTCTAATGCTCACGCGCCCATTGTAGGCACTTTTGACTGTGGACACGGTCAGCATGGGCACCCAGACTGGTCTGTGGCTACACAGCTCCATACACAAAAAAACTGTGATGCGCTGTGTGCTCAGACACTCTTCTATCAGAACCAGCATTAGTTTTTTCAGCAGTCTGAGGTACAGTAGCTCTTCTATTGGATCGAACTACACGGGCCAGTCTTCGCTCCTCACCTGCATCAATGAGCCTTGGCCAGCTATGACCCTGTCACCGGTTTTCCTTCCTTAAAGGAGCCAGGGCTTTTCCCCATAGTTCTCCTTAGGGTAACGGGAGGACACAAACTAGCGTCCTCCCGTTACCCTAAGCTCAGTAAACCGCAAGCTACAGCTCGCGGTATACTGAGAGGCCGCAGCCGAAGCGGATCCCGACATTGATGTCGAGATCCGCCCAGCTGCGTGAGTGACAGCTGGCTCTGCCTATCTAGAGGCAGAGCCAGCTGTACCCGCCCCCTCCCCCGTCCGATCCGACAGTCAGCGCTGGCAGGGAGGGGGGAATCCAGCCCCTCCCCTGTCACGGCAGAGAGCCGTGACAGGATCGAGAGGTGAGCGAACGCCGGTATATGTTCGCTCACCTCCAGATCTACTGAGCTGACCTGTGACAGTCTCATTGTCACGGGTCGGCTAGAACTATGAGGTGAGTGAAAAGCAGTCACCTCATAGTTCTCCTTTAACCTCCCTGGCGGTATGATTATTTTGATTTTCGTAATTTTTTTCGGCGCAATTTTTTTTTCGGATTTTTTTCGTTATTTTATTTCTTCGTTTTTTCCGTATTTTTTTTAAATTTCCCGCCGGTTCCGCCCCCATGCGACACGTCAGCTCGGAAGGGACTGAACCCGGAAGACAGATGCCGGCGCCGGCCGGAGGACACCGCACGGCTCGAGGGACAAATTAAGTAAATACTGTGGGATATTCCCGAGTGTAGCTACACTCGAACTACACTCGGGAATACCGCCAATGAGGTTAAACCACTTTTGGTTGGTCCGGACCACTGTGGACCAGGAACATCCCACAAGAGCTACAGTTTTGGAGTTGCTCTGACCCAGTGGTCTAGACATCACAATTTGGCCTTTGTTAAAGTTGCTCAAAATGCTTGCATTTGCCCAATTTTTGTTCTGCCACATCAACTTCAGGGATAAAATGTTCACTTTCTGCCTAATACAGTATATCCCGCCAACTTCCAGGTGCCATTGTCACCAGATAATTCATGTTCTTCCCTTTACCTCTCAGTGGTCATAATGTTATGGCAGATCAGTGTGAATCCTGTATAATAATAATCTTAAAAGGTCGGGAAGGAAGAAAGGACTATGGTCCCTTTAAGGAAAAACTGTGTACCTGAACGTGATTCCGAGCTTTTGTGGTGTCAGGTCCCTGAAGATTTCATAATTAGCTATGTGGTTGTTAATGCACCTCGGAGATCTTTTGGCTTGCTTCTCTGAAAGCCTCATAAATAACTTTTGCTTATTGTACCCATCAATTATATTAATATGTTTATTCAGTCAGAAAATTAAATCTGCTTTCTAATTATGGAAGGAAAATAGCAGATATGAGGATATAGCTTGTAGGCTGTTTCTCAGCAACAAAGAAAGGACTCCATCTGAGCTGTGTGCGGCTCGTCTGATTATCTAATCAGAAATGTTTGAGAGAGCCTTAGGCTTTGTATACATTCTTAGATTTATTTATTTTTGTATTTGTTCAGCTGCAGCTGAATGGAAAAAAATCGAACAGATTCCTCTATCCACGCTAAACCTGAAACGCTGCGGCTATTGTATTTTGACAGCTGGTCCCACTGGCTTTCAAAGTACTTGAACAGCACCTGCATCTCATCGGAAGTTGTAGGTGCCCGGCTAACCTATTACTGCCCATCTCCTTCAATGAAGGATGTTGTGTGGGAACTGGCAGACAGGGCCATCCAGTGTATAGCCAGCTTTATAGAGGGCTAAAATGTTACGTTTACTACACCTGTATTTTGGAGAAAACCATATAGTGCAAAGAAGAAGATGTAAATAAATTCTTATTTTATTGTGCATTACAATTTTAGGATTTTGTGCAAGGAAGGGCTATTTAGTGCCACCTCCTGTTACTTATTTTTTTCCCACCCTTTTTCTGCATGGCAGCACCTTTCAGTTCACTTGTATATATTTTGTACAGTGTGTATAAAAGGGGGGGGGGAAAGATTTCACTTTTCCACATTTTTGGTGCAGTTAACAGGATGTGCATCTTTTCTGGGGAAAAGCTTCAAATGTGCCTCGTTTCACTGATGCCAAGGCAGCTCTGGATATTCTTGCAAGCTCTGCGTGTATCCAAAGGCCCTATATACATGCAACTTTAAAAACAGAACGTACTGGATGGGCAGATACAACTACCCAGTAGAAGGGGCATTTCTGGGGTTAGAACTTTTTACTGTGCATAGCAGATAGATTTGTAATATTCTGCTCGGAGTGGTTTCAAAGGGGCAGATTATTCCAGTGTTACCAGTAGGGATGCACAGATCCCGAGGATTTAAGCAAGTACTCAAACTCACCCAAATGCTCCGATACTTGCCGCCAATACCGGAACCTCCAGTCAGAGGGAGATTTCCTCTGACCAGCAGTGCCGCCAGGGAACATGGAGCCACCTTCCCAGCCAATCGGGAAGCCAGCTTCATGCTGTTTGGCCGTCTCAATGCGGGAAGCCGGCTCGATGCTAATTGGCTGAGAAGCTGGCTTTCTGGCCATTCCGCATCGAGGCGGCCAAACAGCATGGAGCCGGGTGGCGGGTAATGACACACCGCTTGGCTTCCTGATTGGCCGGGAAGCCGGCTCCATGCTTGCAGATCGGTACTCTGTAAGGGCGAATACCGAAAGGTAAATATCGGTACTCGATACGGAAAAAACGGTATTGGTGCGTCCCTAGTTACCAGTTGCTGCAAAACTTGGTTTTAAAGGGCAGATTGTACAGCGGCTGATAACACTGGCATTATCTGCTCCTTTTGAAACCTCTCTGAGCAGAATACTACAGATCCATCTGGCATCTAAACAGTGTCAACATTTGTGATCCTTGATGAAGGAGGAGTGTGTTTGGCCCAGGAAATACATTGGCTGTTGTATATGATCATTTTATGAACAATTAATGCAGAACTCCAGAGAACATTTTTCTTAATCTTTGCAGTCGGGCTATCCTCGCACTGCAAGGGTCAAGCGTTCATTTTTTTCCTAGATTCAAAAATAAAAAATTTACACTCGCCCGATCCTCCGAGTCGGCTTGCTCTTAGAGCGATCCCTTCCGCCTGCCTCCTCCTCTGCTGCAGCAATGGTATATCACTTGTTGTCCTCACAAGCTATACACCGTTTATAGAATGTGATGACTCACAGGGACTTAGACCACCACAGCAGAGGGGGAGCAAGTCAGAAGGGACTGGTCTAACAACAAGCAGGGTTTTAGAAGATTGGGTCAGAATAACTTTGTTTTTGAATCTAGACAAAAATGAGCACTTAACCCTTGCAGTGCCGGGGTAGCCCCACTGCAAGGGTTAAGAAAGAATTTCCCCAGAGTTCTGCTGTAAAGCATTTTGGACTCTTTCACAGTTTGTTTGGCACTTTTCCACTCCCAGCGCCTCATTGATCTGTTTCCTAGAGAGAAAATCAGGCCATCTTCATGTTACCCTAGAGGCAATAATCAGCACTTTCAAAATCGAAAGCGATCTGTGTTGGTCAAAAATTTTCCAGCTATGTTAGTGCGGCCTCACCGATCCCCTTTTCTTAGGAGGGGTCATACAAGAAAGAGCAGCAGCTCCCAGCACATACATAAGACAGGCCGATCTCTTCCCAAATGTGAATAGCCTTAAAGAAGGAAGATTTGCATTCTCCCAGCATAGGCAGTTTAGTTATACTTGTTGGTGTTTTATTCCCATGAATCATTCAGTATTGACTTCTCCCCATTTGTCTCACTACAGCAGTAAAGAAGATGAAGCTTTGGTTAAGAAGCCATTCCAGAAAGAGAGACATGGGAAGGTGGCACACAAGCGGGTTGCAGCCGAGGAATGGGACAGGTAGAGAACACTATGGTATTATCTTTATGTAATGCTATAATTACGGCCTGCACTCTGCAAACTAACATGTTTCTTCATTTCCACACAAATAGAGAGGAGGCACGAAACCAGCGATTTCATCTAATATCCATGGATGCCGTATCCTTTGTCTGCCGTCCTATCATCTAGTCAAATAATTGTTCGTTCCAGTGTCTTCATTAAACCCTCCGCCGCCTGTGTTGTGACATGAAATGTAATTGTTATTTATTCTACAAAGCCCTATTTAAGATGTTGAGAGAAAAAATTGCTCGTTCTGTAGACATTCTAGGGATTCAGGAAACTATAGTAAACGAAAAAAATAGTCTTCTAAGAAAGTGGTTGGCAGCAACATGACTGCATGATCACTTGTATGTGTTTGTGTAAATGTATGTGTGTATGTATATATAAAAAAAACTTTTGTGAACAGCACCTTGTATCATAATCTTCAATATAAATATAATATTTATTATAGTCCAAATATCATACATCAAACCTCAAACTCCATGAGGGGAATTTATCAATCCTGGAGCAGACAAAATTTGGAGCATCTTTGCATGGCAACCAATCAGCTTCTCTTTTCTATTTTCAAATTTTAAGTGCACAAACTGAAGAGAGAAGCTGATTGGTTGCCATGCACAGCTGCTCCAGGTTTTGTCTGCTCCAGTTTTGATAAATTCCCCTCCATGTGTCTAGGAATCTGAAAGCCTAAGCAAATGCAGTGAAGTCTGCTACATCTATACCTAATGTTCATACATTAAAATAGATCCAGTATGGATAAGAACCCCGATCAAGTTCATGTCAGACACGTATTCTGAATAAAATGAAATGAAAATAGAAGCGAGTTTCAGATGGTAAGTGTACAATAAGCACATAGATATGGGGACGTGTGTCTTTGTTTACAGGATGGCTAGAAAATCGGTACAATATATGAGCTAATACAGGATATTTCTTCTTAGTCTTTACATACACTTTAAGGCTGATCTCCATGATAATATTAACCCTCACCCACCTCCTCCAACTGCCTTTAAAAAAAACACTTAGCTGAGTGCCCTTATATTTTGCCTAAACCCATGGTCATGTGACACACTCCAGTCCTCTGGTCCTTTATTTACATTAGAGAGGGTCCTTTTTACACTGCCTACATGACATGGACCCTTCCTATTGGCTATCCAGTTTTGGGGTCCTGTTAGTGTCCAGAAGAGGAGTGACACCAGCACAATTGGACTGTAGGGGACAGGTCGTATCAACAACATCTGTAGTGCTGGGTAAGTGGTCCCCCACACCCCAGTGGTGCTGGCTAGGGACCCGGATGACAGACTTAGTGAAGTATAACTTTCTTCACAAGGAGAGGGCGCCCTGCAGAGGATCTTTAATAAAGCTGCAGAGTTTGCTGGATAGCATGGAGATTTGCAGGTAAATGAAGATTTGGGGTTATTCAATTCTTGGACTCGCTGCATCTCTGCAAACAAACTAATTTTTTTTTTTTTTTATTACTGTAGACATTAAGCACTCCCTCTGTCAATGGCAGTTTTTATATGTCTGGGTATGTAGGCAAGTTATAACTTTTTGCTTTAGCATCTGATTTGTGTTGTCGATTTGAAGCCTTGTGAAAGTAGCTGTAATTTTCAGCAATAGGAAATGTAAAAATAGCCATAAAATGTGTTCCTAATTTGTAACATAAAGATGACATCATATCCTGTTATTAAATAATGTTGTCCAGATTAGGATGAGCTCACCGTAGGCCTGGGATCAGATTACCGTTCTTCGTCTTCACTTCCAAATAAACAAGCTGGTTTTTGACAAATCCCACGTTTAATAAAAAAATGGAAAAGTTCAGAGGGTTCATCCAGCTTTCTGTCTTACGCTTAGCAGAGGAGCCCGGTAGACTAAAGCTGGCCATACGCCGTTCTGTTTTTTTTTTATTTAATCAAAACTGCGAGTAGTATGAAAAAATAGAATAGATTCCCCCATCCGTGCTAAACAGCCTGCTGCGCAATTGTTTTTTGACAGCGGTGGGTGTGCTGCTGTCAGAATATCTGAACAACGATGGCAGCTGATTGACTGATCGAAGGATGTTGGACAAAAGGTTTAAAGGCCATCCACTGAACGGCTTTCGGCGGGCTCATAAAGAACCGACCTAAATTCACTCAGTGTACAGTCCGCTTGAGGTCGCCAAACTGTTCTCTTTATGTGTGGGCTGGTCGCATACATGGGCTGGGCCATTTAAAGTGAGGTTCCAGTGTACAATGCAGAAGCTTTTGAATTTGGCACTGTTGTGTTGTAGACGCTCCTTTTGCATTCCACTGTATATGTATCTATAAACCAGGGCTGGACAAATCCCAGAAGCCAAGTAGCCAATGTTCCTTAAAAATTACAGCTGGGTTTTCTCTAGTTTTTGAGCTGGCTCCCCAAAAAAATCCTGCTGGCTCATGGATTGGAAAGACTAGCTCCTGAACGCCTTATAAATGTGTCCACCCCTGGTATAAACATATATGTATATGTAGCCTGGTTAATACATGCTCTTTAAGAAATCAAGCTTTTGGAACAATGATGGGTCGCCTTTATACTGTATATCTGTTGATTGCTTCAGTGTTGTGTTATTTGTCTGAAAGAAAAATGTTATTCAAATAATTATTATTCATTAAAGCAATGTTATTAAAATTAACCACAAATGTTGCAGTTTGCCAGACATCAAAAGTTTGTGAACGATTACATATTGTATTATGGAGGAAAACTGGAAGACTTCAAACTCCCAAAGTAAGTCCATTAATTTACTGATGTCACAGATATGTGGTGTACAGCTTGGCCTTCTTCATATAGAAGGTGTTTTATATATTTACATTTCCCTACATATTTGGGTTAAGCTCCAGGGGAGAAACCAAATGAGATTCTCTGACACTTTGCAGGCAAGACTATACCATTAGAATGTATGATAGTCGTATGTATGTAAGAGGCTTATAATGCTCAACACAGGCAGAGTTTAACACGCAAAACAGTTTGCACAGTGCTTTACAAAATGGGGGAGAAAGTACAGTTACAGAACAATTTCAGTAAGCAGGGTTTGGATGGCCTTGCTCGTGAGAGCTTACAATCTTGGAATCCATTTACTCTCGGCTACTACTGGGGCATAGTCTGCACACAGCCTCTGTATGGTGATTACAGCGGTTTACCGAGCACAAGGCTTCCTCCCAGGCATAGGTCAGCAGCCTTTGTGATGTCGGGGGGAAACTTTGGAGCAACTGCTGCTGTCAGGTTGAGAATCCCTCTGACACTCCCAGAAGTGTTGAAAGTTGAAGAGAGTTATGACAAATATGGAAATGAATTAGCAAGCTAATAGGAGCTTTAGTAAGTGCTACTTTCCTACATTCTAATGATATATTCAGCCTGCAATATATCACCTGGTGGCAGGGTCACTTTAAAAAGAAATCGGACAATATTTAGAAGGCAGTTTAACCCGGGGGTTGGCAACCCCTGACACCCGTGCCAGGGTGGGCATGCAATGCTCTTTCTGCTGGCACTAAAATGTTTTGTCTTTAATTGACAGCTCCCTAGGCTGTGAATTACAGAGCCTGGCGCACCCACTTACATGATGTCCGTGGAAGCAGTCAGCGATCGTGGGCATTGCCACTCTGCACTAATATAGCCAGTCATCCACCCTAAAGGGGCCATTTTGTTATATCCTGTTCCTTTCTCTACCAATATTTTGGCTTCTACAAAATGACTTTTACCAGCTGATGTACCACAGACATATAGGGTTATATCAGGGTTATTCACAAAAGGGTGAAGAGTTTGGAGAAGGCAGGAGAAGTGAACAATCTAGGCCAAAATAGCTGATTTAGAAAAATTCTCCAATTCAGCTCACTTTCCAGTGCAGCTATGTTGTCCTAGATTGTTCACTTCTCCTGCCTTCTCCAACCTCGACACCCTTTTGTGAATAACCTTGTCTGTTTCTTTATTCTTTGGTCCTTGTAATGAGAAATCTGCAGTGGTTTGCGAGTGAGAGCATGGCACAGATGTGCTGGAGCTAAGCTGTCACCTATGTTTTGCAATTCCTGTCTTTTAGAGCTGCAGCTAACGATTATTTTCAAAATCGATTAGTTGGCCGATTATTAAGTTCGGTTAATCGGATAAACAATTAAAATAAAGTTTAAAAAATTGCTCCAGTGATGGGACTACTAGTTTGTATTGAGGTTGTAGTCCATCACAGGAGCAAGCTTGGAGCGGTGGAAGTAAAAAAGAAAAAAAAGATAGTGTGGTGTGCAATATTGTGAAATGGAAAGTGTAAAATTATACAGTAATGAATGCAGAATGGCACCGGCTATAGAGGACTACAAAACCCAGCAAAAGCACATTATACAGCACAATGCAGAACACCGCCAGCTATAGAGGAATACAACAAATCCCAGCAATAGTACATAATAGCTGGCAGCATTCTGCATTGCGCTGTATAATTTACTATTGCTGGGTTTTGTAGTCCTGTATAGCTGGTGGTATTTAGCATTGTACCACTTTATAATGTACTATTGCTGGGATTTGTTGTAGTCCTCTATAGCTGGTGGTATTCCGCATTGCGCTGTATAATGTATTATTGCTGGGACTTGTAGTCGTCTATACAGCGCAATGCAGAATATCACCAGCTATAGAGTACAACAAATCTCAGCAATACATTATACATACAGTGTATAATGCATTGCTGGTATTTGTATTCCTATGTATAATGTACAGTACAATGTACCATCAGCTATAGAGAAATAAAAATCCCAGCAATACATTATAGAGCACCATGTGTGGGAAAGTGCAGGCTTACCTGACCAGTCTTCCAGCAACTTGCTTCTGAGATTGGACCTGTCTATCAGCGGCTGTCATCCCCCCACCCCTGCTCCTCCTTACTACATCTCCCCGCGTGCCTTGCCGATCGTGGATGGGCAGGAAATGTGAGGCGGGGAGGAGGTGCGGTGTGTGTAGCGTGGATGCGAGCGGGTCTGGCAGCGGCGAGAGTGAGGTGGGGAGGAGGTGCGGCGCACAGCGTGTGGAGCTGTGAACAGGGCCAACTGATCGGAAGCCGATTAATCGATTATTGAAAAAGTTGACAACTTTTTCAATAATCGATTATAATCGATTATGTCGATTAGTTGTTGCAGCCCTACTGTCTTTGTTCCTTATCCACCCAGGTATGGATCTAGCCATATAATTGAACAGGGCACCTAGTGATCAACTCATACATGGGGAATCTGCCGACAGTCATCAGTGGGTAGGAACCAGATCAAGTCAGATGATGTTAAGTGCACCAGGGTCATGTCAGATGATATCAAGTATGCCAGCTTGCCCATCCTCCCATAAAAATGTTATAAATTAGCTAGGCCTAGAAAAAAGTACAACTGGAGGCTTTGTGTACAGCCTACTTTTGGGCTAGGTTGAATGCCATGCCTGTTGGGGCTGATTTGAGGTCTGAAGTGCATTCATATATTGTTGCTTATCTGCAGTCTAAAGTGCATGCATGCATTTGGGCAGATCTGACATCTAAAGGTGCACAAATTGGGGCTGTTCTGAGGTCTAAAGGTGCATGCATAAGGGCTGATTTGGGGTGTGAATGTGCATGATTTGGGGCTGATCTGAAGGTACAGAAATTAGGCTGATCTAGGGTTGATGTGTACAATAACTGCCATTAGCAGTACAACCGATGAGTACAAAGAAGGAAAGCTAACTTTGCTATTGTTCACTGGCATGCTGGTTGTCTGATGTTTGTAAAAAGGGCACTTGATGTGGAAAAGGTTGCTGGCCCCTGGTTTAACCTTTTGCTCCTGTAGTCAGATCTGCACTTATTGTGGCAGAAATTGATATGAATGGGCTCTTATTGAGTACTCTATCAGCGGTGTTTGTAGACAATACATTTTACTTCTTTGTTAATGATGTGCCCTTCTGGTTGGCAGGGGAGAACGTAAGACGGACTTGGATGTCATTCAAGAAAACCACAGATTCCTTTGGCAGGAGGAAGATGAAGAGGAAATGACTTGGTAAATTAACCCTGATGTCAATGTTAAAATATAGATGTGTCTAAAATTAAACTACAGCCCACAACACGTGTTTATCTGGGGTGAGGACCAAAAACATTGATTTTCCAAGGCAGTGCATTTTGTTTATTTCTCTCTATTGTATACAGACTTCACTGATATTTCTCATCACCCTCTAGACCGGTGGTTCTCAACCTGTGAAACCTCAGGAGCCGTATTGATCCTTGATCATTAAGTTGTGACCTAAGTCACACCGCACTGGAACGCCTGCATTGTGGTACGGCATCGTTTTTAAGATCCACCCAGTTTTCCCACCTCACAAGAACTGGGGTGGATGTTGCTCAGCCTGGAGTCCAGTGTGGGCTGCTGTGCGGTGACTGAGCTCCATCTGTATGTGAATTGCTTGTACATCTCTCTTGTGTGCCCTGTATCCCAAACATTATACATTTTCTGAAAGCCGAGACCTTGTAGAATAAAATGTTGGCAGTTGAAAATTTTTATGTTGCACGATATTAGTGCAACTCTTTATCAAACCAAAAATGTAGTGAAAAATAAACTAAAGTTAATTTTAGTGCCTCAAAACACAAACCATATTTTGTAGAATATAAAAGATGAGGTTACGACAAGTAAATAGATATCCAACATGTCCAGGTTGAAAATTGTGTGCGTCCGTGAAACGGCGACAAGATTCAGTACCCCAAAAAGCCCACAGATGAAGCTTTAAAAGCCCCTACAGGTCATCAGTTTAGGGATACATATAAATATTGGCACTAGAATTATTGTTCTCACTCTGGCATACGTGGCGATACCCAACATGTGTAGCGCGATTGTCGTTTTCGTACGTAGGTGCACCCGACGCGTGTTATTATTTTTAAAACCTTTTTTTTTTCTTTGCTATAGCATATTGGCAGTGATATGTCCTCTTTAAGGGGATACTGGGGTCTAACAGACCCCTAGTATCGCCTTTCACCTTTTAAATAAGCTATTGAAATGCAGATCACACTTAAATAGTTCATTGCTGGGCTTCAAGAGCCAAACAATGACAGCTCAGGGACCGAAAGTGATGGAATACGCGTTGCTCCCGGTTGCATAAAATGGAAGTTCACTGCTCTCCTCCCCATCTTCCCGCTGGCACCCGGCATGCTGGTCCCGGGCCCGCAGAGTCGGGGAAATATGGCAACGGTGTAGGGGGAGGGGCGGGCACTGTACCGGCCCAAAGAAGCGATCTGACGACAGCTGACCTGCCAGAATTGTCCCGTAGAAGCGATCTGACGGCAGCTAAGCTGCCAGAATCCAATAGCTGGCTTTATGATTTGGAAACGGGATTGGGAGTTTGTTTAAACGGGCCCGCTGCCAACGACGTAAGCTTTGCTTCGGTGGCAGCGAAAGGGTTAACACAATCATTCAATCACAGCCTTACCTGCTTTCTAGACTGGAAGGCTTCTTAGAGCTTTATCTAGGTCACATGTATGAAAGTGGTTGTTCGCTGGACTAGTGATGTGCACAAAACTGTCAGTGGCACATCTCCTCCGAGGCTAGACAGTTGCGGTTGGGGCATTTTCCTTCCCCAAGCCACATGTAACAAAGGGGCAGGGATTACACCAGCTCCAACTGATTGGGCCGGGAGGGAAATGTGTCACTGACGGTTCTGTGTGGGCTTGGGTGTGCACCAAGCCTTTGCACATCACTAACTAGGACCTATCCTTTCACTTTAGAGGGCCCACTTTGACACATAGGACCATATGAAGTGTTCCACAGCACTTCATATATGTCTTACTCTCCGTGCATTGCTCTACTACAACAGCCAGCTCTTCTATTAGAATTGCCCATCTAAGCAAAATATTTTATGTATTTGTCCAGTGTTGTGGCACAAAGAAACTGCAGCAACAGTGGGCACAAAACACTTCCCCTCCATGACTAACAGAGTAAATGTAGAAATACCAGTTCATACATCTCCTTTTCTGACATCATAAGTTAGGCTTGTATCTAACCTGCTGCATAGATTGTATGCCTTGACTCAAGGTGCCCATACATCTGCCGATTATCGTACGATAATCACGGGAAATCCCGCGATTGTACGATTATCGGCAGATTTATGGAAGGCGTGCGACCGTTTCTACTGTACGGTTGCACGTCTTTTGTCTTACGAGCAGGCTCGAAAACCTGCCGAGAATCGTACGATTCTCGGCGGATCTGTCGCCTGCTCGTAAGACAAATGCCGCACGGGCCGGTGTGCGCAAGCTGGATGCATTGCAGTCATCGGAAGCCCGATCTGCCTTTCCAAGATGGGCAGATCGTACGTTTTTTAAATTACCTTACAACCATCGCAAGACAAAAGTCTTGCGATGGTTGTAAGGTGTATGGGCACCTTCAGAAAGAACAATGAACAAAGATTTGACCAGGGCCGACAGGGCCATATATGTCTTCTGGGAAGGTCACATACATCACTCCCATTAGATCACCTTTTGCTTGCCAGTCCTGTAAAATAAAGGTCATTATATATAATTCTACCCACTGTCTTTTAATCTCTAGCTCTAGAACACTCCACATGGAGGCATACTCCATCACAACAAAAGGCACATAGTAATAAAAATGTAAATCGTAGACCAGTAGGCTGCTGCTTGCTAGTTTCTGCTCTACATTTCTTTATTGAACATCTATTCACACATGAGAATAAAGGCAGCCATTTTTAAAGCGTTTGGGACCTGTGACAGGTCTTCAGGCAAAAAGTCTAACATGTCAGGTGGCCTTTTGTCAGAACATATTTGGTAGTTTTGTAATATTATCATTGTATTGGGCTGTCATATTATTGCAGACTTCATTTTAATGTTATCCTTGTATTACCTAGAGACACAGGTTCAGAGGGTGAACAGTATACCATTGTTTCTTCGGGGCCCGATAGCAGTTAAAGCCATCTGATGACCCCCCTCCCCCTTCCAATTCCCATGTATTTGTTTGACCAGAATCCATATTTGATCCAATACAGAGTGGTGGTAATTCAATCAACGTAGTCAACAATTCTACTTTCAGTTAACTAAAAGGACAAAATTGGGTTTAATTTTTTTTTTTCATGCTGACCCAACAGAACATACTGACTGCATTCTAGACGTAAAAAGACAGAAATCTAATCGCTTTCATTAAAAATTCATGATTTTCTTGCTTAACGTTTTTTCCTTCCAACATTACTGCCATATAAATGTATTTTCAGTGTAAGAGCGGATGGGAAAATTTGTCTGATCTCAGCGAAATAAAGGAATTTTCTGTATTCTGCGCTGACAGGGAGAAGAGACTTGCAAAGAAATATTACGATAAATTATTTAAAGAATATTGCATAGCCGATCTCAGCAGATACAAGGAGAACAAGGTTCGTGGAATTGGGTAGAATTGTAGAAAATCAGATGTAGAGAAATTGTGGTTGATTGCCATGAGAAGTGCATTTTGCTTTCTGTTGTTGTGTTCTTTTACATCTTCCACCCATTTCTTTGCTACAGTGCATTTGTTTTTTTTCTTTTACTTTTTTGTCTTTTATTAACCACTTCATGAGGGCGCTTAAAGGAGAACTATGAGGTGAGTGAAAATCACTCATCCTCATAGTTCCAGCCGACCTGTATCAATGAAACTGTCACACGTCGGCTCAGTAGATCGGGAAGCGAGCGAATACATACCATCGCTCACTCACTTCTCGATCAGCTGGGGGGTATCTCGACGGCTTTGTCTGGATCCGTCCCGGCTGCGGCAGTCTCAGTATATAACAAGCAATAGCTTACGATATACTGAGCTTTGGATCATGGGAGGACGCTAGTATATCTACTCCCGTAACCCTTAAGAGAACTATGGGGAGAAACACTTACTCCATAGTTCTCTTTTACCCCTGCAGTGGGGATACCCCCCAACCCCCCCCCGTACTGCACGGGTTAAGTACTAATTTTTGCCTAGGTTCAAAAATAATTATACTCGCCCCAGACCGGTCCATTCTGTCTCACTCCGCCTCCGCTGCAGCAGTCTAATGTCCTGCAAGTCATCACGTCCAATATAATATATTGGGCGTGAAGACGCCGTGGGACATTTCCATCGCTGCAGCGGAGGAGACTGACGGAAGGGACCAGTCTAAGAGCAAGCTGGCTTGGAGGCTTGGGAGAGTATAACTTTGCTACTTTTGAACCTAGAAAACCAACCTACAAAAACAAGCATTTAACCCTTGCAGTGCAGGGATAGTACTACAAGGGTTAAGAAAAGTCCCTGCATATTCTATCCTGTACAAACATCAACATTGTAATAAGAATACATCCTATCGTTGTTTTTGAAAATACAGTGGAGAAATCTACTAGATTTTTTTCGGTAAGCCCAAAATCTAAAGGAAAACGATCTACTAGTGTATGAAAAGATTAGGTCAGCAGTCTCATGAAGATCTGAGTTTACCATCCCAAAACCTCACCTTAAGGGTGCTTTACAGGTTTCAGTGAAGTTTGGTGTACATGTTCCTTTTAGGCCTCATTTCCATAGATGTGCACAGACTGTCTATGTCCAAGGGCATGCATCTGTACCTTTACCTATGTGCAAGTCCAGGACGGCATGTTGTCTTTAGTAGTCATGCCCTGTCATAAAGATGTACAGGCGGCATGCATGTGCATACTGTAAGGCTGTGCACGTTCTTATGACTGAGGCCTAATACAGGATCCTGCTCTTGTGTACAGGTCCTTAGAAAGTATTTAAAGCCACATTTTTGTTGTTTTGGATAGAGTGCAAGCGTGCTAAAATCCATCACAGCCCTGATGGAAAGATTCATTTTCACCTTTCTGTGATGATGATCATTATATGATTGTCACCGGAACAGTAGAACAGCAAGCTCCCAAAAGGGACATCTGTTTCAGTGACAACTGTTCAAGTGAGGGGAAGTCTGCCCAGTGGGGCAAAACAAATGACAAACGCACTCAACAATTTGTCACCAGTTATACAGTAAGGTGCACACGAAATGGGCTTTGAACAGTAAAACAGTAGAAAGGCATCATGGCACACTCACAAACCAGCATGTAAAACAAATTGTCTCACCACTAAGGTCAATAACAAACGCACGGGGCCCGATAGCTCGTGTATCCAAACCTCTGTTATTGACCTTAGTGGTGAGACAAGTTGTTTTACATGCTGGTTTGTGAGTGTGCCATGATGCCTTTCTACTGTCTGCCCAGTGGGGACACAGCTGAGGAGATTCACCCTCTTCATTTGTCCTGGTGAAAGTTGTTACCTGGACAGAAAATGATTCGAAACCCACAATGGTGGCCTCCACACTTCTCAGTACAGGTTTTCTTTAATCAGACAGTTTACAGCTTCTCAGAGCCACCAGATTGGACCTTTCATCACATTAACAGTGTTAGAATTTGTGAGATTTTTGATTGGTTTCTTTAGATCCCTGCAGTGTTCACAAGGCTCTTTTTATTATCTTATTATATAAGTGCTAACTACAACCACTATTTTTTCAACAAATCTTTTGTGTGTTTTTGGCAGTTTGGATTCCGGTGGAGAGTGGAAAAAGAAGTTATCTCTGGAAAAGGTATTACTGCTAATAATATTTAGATTTCTGTACCTTTTTGTTCATTTAAAAATAAGGAGAGATAAGAATAATATAAATATAATGTTTTGTTTTATTTTATTCAGAAAAGAATGTTCTCACTCACAGGTTTTGTACTAGAGCAGATGCTATTTTTCAAACTTTCAAATAATGTTTCCTACTATAGAAGTAGTTACAGGCCTGTAGTCACTGGGTGAAAACTTTAAAATATAGAATCTATATTGTCTATGCTCCAGTCCATTGGTGCCATGCCTGTCATTCTGGTTTGTTCATTACTAGAGGCCTGACTTTAGGGCAAACCTTGCCAACTGTCACCCCCTGTTCAATAAGAATGCTTCAGTGACCAATAAGGGCAATCTTATTGGAATGGCAGGTGACCGGTTTGCTTTAATTGCACTGCCATCCTTGATTCTCTCTGTAATTCCATATGTTACATTGATATGAACACTAGAGGGAGCTCCAAGCCACCATATTGCCTACCATATTGTCTTTGTATGAACATATA